TATTATTATTATTATTATTATTATTATTATTATTATTATTATTATTATTATTATCATCATCATCATCATTATCATCATCTAAAGATTTACCCTAAAAACAGGATCTCAAGCTCAACAGCTACGCATAATGTTACCAATCCGTTGATAGACCAAATGAAAAAAGACAATTCAGGTCTACAGTATGTGGTACACGATTTGGGTCCTCCGTGGGACATCCTTCCATTCCAGAGGGATAAAGCATGGATGAGGGCCATGGACGAGATCTCTTCTTCCCTGGTTTTATGGAATGATCTGCTCGGATGAAGGGCAATCCATAAGTGGCTGTGGAGCTTGGTGTGGCGGAGGGTGCTCTCATTTGAAACAAACGTCCTCCCTCCCACCCTCTTTAAAATGAGACAAACACAACAAAAAAAATGTCCTGCAAAAGATGGGAGAAGAAAAAAGGAAATTAGGCTTGGAAGTCATCCATACCTACATCAAGAATAACCTTCTTTAATTCTCTAAAAACACATTTAGAGAGAAGCTTTGAGAGCCATTAACTAACATGGCTTTTCAAATAGGCTCCATTAATGGAACTCACTGCCACAACATATTTGGAGGATTTTTATTTTGGAGGGCTTTGAAACCTTTCTTCAGCTCTGACAGGATAGTGGGGAATGGAAGGATTTATATTCCTTGCAGACAGCTGGTCATTTGCATCCTTTTAGAGGGTCGTTGAGGCCACCTGGAGGTTATTCTGTGTCCTCCTCAAAGAAAATGCAAGCAAGTCCAGCTGCCTCCTGAAAAAAGCACCTTTGGGAGAACCATGACCTGGAGGGCTGAGAATCTCTACAGACTTAGCATCGATCTGAAGTTATGATGGACACCTCTCCCCAAAATGGAACTTACGAGACAGATGTGAAGTTCCAATGACCGGGTCCTCCCTACTTGCGGACCTGTAACCCCAATGTCCACCACCTTCAGGATCGGCTGCTGAAATTCTTGGCAGCAAAATAGCAACTTTAAAAAAATGAAACTGTCACGGCATTGACATTTGCCAATTTGCTGCTGACTCAAACTATGAAACAGCTGGGCAAGACCAGCATTTAATATATTTGGTGGTTTTTTAAAAAATAAAAAATAAAATAAACCGACTCAGCAAAACATGTTGGGGAAAAATGGGTCAAGCATTCAAGTCCTGCCACTTTAGTGAGATCATTGCAAAACTGTGGTCATACAGAGGTGACCCAAAAAGAGTCTGAGGGGAGTCATAATTTTGTGATGAAAGTCCTTTCTGAAAGTCTAAACGAGCTTTCTTTGCAGTCAAAACCAGCGTCTTGCTTTTTTTTTTTTATTGCAACTGATCGTTGTACCCTTTGCAACTCTCAAAAGGCCCATAATAATCATAATAAAAAAAATTGTACCCACTGGAAAAAATATCCTGCCTGTCATTATTGTCGTCAATACTTGGCATTAAATATATCGGCTAAATATAAGTTACCTTTTACAGGTCCTTAGGGGTCATTCTTCAACTAATGTGTCTGCGAACAAAGGAAACATGTTCTGTTAATTATATAAGCATTTTTACAATCTCCTCTGACCCTCTACAATAGCCAGACTCCAATGCCTCTAATCCTCTGCCTTTTTTTAACTACAGATCTTTTATTTCAGCCTTGTCTCTTTCTAAGTTCTTTTCTAAGGTTCTTTTAGATCAATTCACTATCAGTTCTAGAATAGAACAAGTGGCTATAGCTCTTGCATTATAAATACTTCAAAACTTGCCAGATTTTTATTTATTTTTTAAATTCCATGAATTTCTTACTTTTCTCTGGGTTTAAAAAAATGAAAGAAACAGGACTCCGGTGACAATCTATTTTACTATATCATTTGAGAGAGTTCATGAGATCCAAAGTGGAAAAGATGATTTGGAGGGGAACAAGTGAGCCCTGACTGCATCGATTCAGGTCTCCTTAAAGATGCAAAGCCTTTTTCTGGGTTTGGACAGTAGCCACATGGTCCCGAAAGAAACATCTTTGAGTTAAGGAAACATTCAATCAGCACCTCCTTAACTTAAAGGCATATATTCCAAGCATCATTCAGCTACCGTGTCAATCTTGGAAAAGATAAAACTTCTTTTAACCAAAGAAGAATTATATCTCACCAAATGCAACCACAAGTCACCAATACTCATTGGAGTCAGATGTTAAGCATTCAAAAGTAACAAAGCAAGTCCCTGTCCTGATTTAAGGGAAGGTAGTTACGTTCATCTTTACTTACCGGGCCAGAGCTTGAATGGCTAAGTTTATCAAAGCGAAATTTTAGATTTGATCTCGGAGAATTTCTGCTTTTTATATCTGTGGAACAATACAAAAAAAAAAAAAAAACCCGCAAAAAACCCCAACCCAAATCAGTTACTTTCTAATTATTTATTTGGAAGATTCAGAACTGGTATCCATTAAAACAAGAAAAACAAATAAAAAACAATTCCATTATCAACAGTTTGTGGTTCCTTATTTGTATCATTATTGGTGTCATATTTACAAGTAAATCTTAATGCAAGTATATAATTACTACAGTTGTAGCTTAACCTCTTTTTTTTCTTTATTTTTCTATGTTGTGTATGTGTTGGTTTATTTTAATTGTAAAATCAATAAAGTTTATTTAAAAAAAACCAAAGGAATGAAAATCCCAGCAATGACTGTTTCACGGCAATACCAATATTTACACATATTCAATGTCCTCTTCTCTCTCTCTCTCTCTCATACACATATACACAAACACACATCTCAGGTGTCAGCCAAAGAGAAGAGTTAAATAGTTGTGGCAAATTAGTTGCTTGCTTGCTTGATTAATTTATTCAAAACATATATGCTGATATAAATCAGGAGACCGCAATGGTAATGAGGAAGATGGTTGTTATTCTGAGGTCAGTGATTTGTTTTGATTTCTCCTTTGGGTTTTTTTTAGAAAATTTAAGAGAAAAAGTAAGAAAATTCTAGAAGTTTAGAGCAATTTCTACCCTAACTTGCTTTTTTAAAAACTTTTGTTTACTGAATAAAGGGATCTTCAGATACCTGCAAAGCTTTTCTTCCTGTGAAAATCTCAAACTTTCAATTCAAAGTCTTGTGCCAGCCAGTCAAGGTCAGGTCTTGAAGTCTTCTGACCATAACAGGACCATGAGGTCATGGTGCCTGATTTGATTAAAAAACCTTGGGGTTGTTTGTGCGAACCTAGCATTGGATATTGTGAAATTGGATGCTAATTGGTGTATCTGTGCTGTGATTATTAAGATGCTCCTGACAGCTTATAAGTAATTTGGATTTGATCTTGCTATGGTTTTTATGTTGTGTTTAAATCTGTTTGAGCTAATAATAAAGCCTAAAATGTGCTTATCTGGGTCCAAAAGAACCAATTGGCTGGGCACCACTCTGACAGTTGGCAAAACAGAGACCGTACATAACCTGAGGAATATTAATGGTGTTTGCCAGTCTCTCTATCTGTCAGCTCTGTAATATAGGGAGTCTGGTCTTTTGTTAATCTGGGAGTAAGATTCAACTATCTGAATACAGAATAACAGAGTTGGAAGGGACCTTGTAGGTCATCTAGTCCACCCCACCCCCATCCAAGCAGGAGACCCTATACCATTTCTGACCGATGGCAGCCCAGTCACTTTTTGAAAGCCTCCAGTGATGAAGCTCCCACAACTTCCAAAGGTAACTTCTGTTCCATAGGTTGATTATCCTCACTGTCAGAAAGTTTCTCCTTATTTCCAGGTTGAATCTCTCTTAGTTCAGTTTCCATCCATTATTCCCTGCCTGGCCTTCAGGTGCCTTGGAAACTAGCTTGACCCCTTCCTCTCTGTGGCAGCCCCTCAAATATTGGAAGGCTGCTTTCCTGTCTCCCCTGGTCCTTCTCTTCACTAGACTAGCCATGCCCAGTTCCTGTAACCGTTCTTCGTATGTTTTAGTTTCCAGTCCCCTAATCATCTTCATTGCTCTTTTCTGTACTTTTTCTAGAGTCTCAACATCTTTTTTATAGTGTGGTGACCAAAACTATCTGGATAGCTTTGATGTATGAGTGGGGCAAGCACTCAGGCTGCAAAAGGCACTTGGATGGCTCTATATTCTGATGTGATGCACACATCAGGCCTTGCCTGCATTTGAAGCATAACTATATCCATATCTCTAAGCAGGCATGGGCTTGGCTAATATTTACATGGGTGACCACCAGGAAACTCTTGGCACAATTAACTAGACTACAAAGTTCCTATTCCAAAACGCAATGCTAAGCCTACCTACTAGGTCATCTTCACCAGTGATGTCATTCAAAGCCCATCCAGATAGGGTTTAGTCAAACTCACCAGTGGGGCTCCTGCTCATAATAACAGGGGTTGAGGCCGATGCTAAATTTGGATTCTCGATGCTTTGGGAAGGACTGTAAACAAATACGTCTTGCTTATATGGTGATGCAGTTGAGGACTGGCTGCCCTGTGAATTAAAGAAAGTGTTGGTTTTATTTAATTTTGTACACCACTTTTTCTCTTAAAGGAGTCCAGAATACATTTTGTGCAGAATACATTTTTCAAAAAAATAAAACAAAACCAGTGAAAATAATATATGTCTCTTACAATGATCTCAACTTCCTTCCTTTGATGTTAAAACCAATCTCTTGACATAACAGGAGGGAGGGAGGGAGGGAGGGAGGGAGGGAGGGAGGAAGGAAGGAAGGAAGGAAGGAAGGAAGGAAGGAAGGAAGGAAGG